TTTTATTATATACAAATCATTTATATTTAACAACTACTTCTTTTCATTATTTTCATTAACTATTTATATGCATCTATTGAGAAAGGTGAAGAAGCTTTCACTTTTTAGCTGTTTATTTTTCAAATGAGATTAAATTTATCAAATTTGTCTCTTTGTATGTAGATGTGAATTTTTTATTATTCGCGTAACGATTTTTCTAATCATTAAATAATAACGGTTAAACTTGAAATATTTCTATATTGGTGTTACGAAAAAATGTGAGGACGGCTATCCTATTTATATGTTTGGATTTAATAAATAAAAATAAAAAAGCAAGAGGCTTATTTTGATTGCATTCTCGGTTATTAAAAAGTCAAAATATTCGTTACACGATTCAATGTCAGTTTTTTTTATTCGAAATTTATGGCAACTACATAGTTAGTAATAGCCCTGTTAAAATAAACCTTTTGTAAAACACAAAGTCAAAGATGAAATTGATAAATACGGTTTCCAAATGGAACTTTGCATGCTCCTAAAATCGGAATGGCCATATGTTGTTATTCATGTAATAAACGCTGGACAAATGATTAAGAATATAACCACATTGGAATGGTGAGACATTGGCAATTATCATGCGCTAGAAATAAATATTGTGCTGTTAGCTTTGAATATGCTATGGAAGCATGATTCTAAGCATGCGTTACATTGATATGGATTGTGGATGTCTAACATTATCAGAAAAATCCAGCATGCTTGACGTGTTGAAAAAAAAAAATTCAAGCATGCACAAAGAAAATTTATTGAATACTATTATTGTCCTTCTGGACTTTGTGCTGCAGAATTAGCTAAACATTACAAACTCTTATGGGGAGTCCAAGAGGAGATGCATCAAACTAAGTTAATTTATAAATAATATTTTTTGAATTCAAACTATAACAGCACCAGGAAGCAGAGCCTCGAGTTTCCAACTCGTGTACTGGCTCATGTCAAAAATGAATTATGTTTTAGCTATAAATACTAAACCATAATCTACTAAACAAGACCGGGAAACCCCTATTGAATGTCACTGCTAACACTCACTACTATTCAATATTACTATAATGTT